TTAGCAGATGTAGTTGAAGAATTTGCTATCTTTTTGTGTGTGTTGCCGCTCATGAGATTTGAGGGGAGTGCCTAGTGGGAGAAATAAGTTGATGATAGCCAGTAGCGGGGGTACATGCCTGTAATCCTGGCATTGAGGCTGAGGCAGGAGAATTGTGAGTCCAAGGCCGGAGCTACAGAATGTGATAAAGATACCATTTCAATGGGAAAACAAGGTAGGAGAGGTCAATAGGCCAGGGGTTTCTGGGATGAGGAGAGGCTTGGTAAACAGCCGCTGACTTTTGTGAGCAATGCTCTTATCCCTTTCTTTGAGGTGAGCGATACATTAGCCCTTTTTCTTTCAATGATAAAATTGTTTTTATCACTACACTTTATCCCTTGGCTCAGAAAATAAGTGTAGGAGACAGGGCTGGGTCAATTAGAGTTATATTGTTCCCAACAGCAGAGGGTGTGTGACCTTGGGCATTATTGGCTGCTGTCCAGGATAGGCCAGCTCTGTCTCTTCTGCACAATATTTTCTGTACTCACCTTCAGCGGAGTCGTTGGAATATGTATTGTGGTTTATTTTATTATTAATTATTTTAGTGTGTGAGTGTTTTCTCCTGCACGTGTGTAACTGATGTCTATGGAAGGCAGAAGATGGTGTTGGATACCCTGGAACTGTAGTTACAACCCAGTTTGTGAGCCTTCATGTGTGTGCTGAGAATTGAGCCTGAGACCTCTGAAAGACCTCTTACCCATGGAGCCATTTTCCAGCCTCCATATTAGGAATTTTTTTTTTTTTTTTTTTTTAAATAAAGGGTCTCACAGTGTAGCTCTGGCTGTCTTGGAATTTGCTTGGTAGACCAGGCTAGCCTCGAACTCACAGAGCTCCACTTACCTCTGATTCCTACTGCTGGGATTAAAGGTGTGTGCCTCTATGCCTAGCTCCATATTAGGATTCCTTAAACCCATCTTCGACCCCTTAATTCTGATGTCATACAAGATTTGGGAACAAAATAACTTTTTTCTTTATCAGCAAAAGGTTCCCCCCAATTATATACAGTTATAGTAATTTTATGAGCTTAATTAATAAAGTTTAGGGCCTTGGTGTTCACAGGTTGAAGCAACTGATTCTTGTGGTTAATTTCCTGCTCAAGTGTCTCTAGGGTACATCTAGTCCAGATAAAAGGTATCTCATAGTTCCTGTCTATTAACTATTAGGAGTTATGATGGTAAATATTTTATGAAATTTCACACACCTGTTCCGGTAATTTTCAGTTTATCTCAGCCCCTGTTGAACCTGCCACACCTTGTCTTATGTAGCATTTCATTTACTGCATGATAATGTGTTACTTTTAGGAGAGGATGGAAATAGTGGAGGGTGGTGGACTTTGCCTAGAAAACTTTTGGGAATCAAATCTATCCATCACAATAACGTGGCTCTTGTACAAGAAGTTTCTACATAACCGCTGTGCTTGATAACCTCTGGGCCAGCAATGTGGTTGTTTTATAACACGATCTGACTGAAGTTAACCTTTCTCATGGTTTATTTTTCTGCTGTGCATTACTGGCACCATTCAAATTGTGAGGGACCTTGCGAATAATTAACTATAGGGTAGGGATGTGTGCTAGAGAGCCAGCAAAAGGCTCGGTGGGTAAAGGTATTTGCCGTGCAAGACTGATGGCCTGCATGCTGTTCCTGGGTCCACACTGCAGAAAGAGAGAAATGAATTCCAAAAGTTGTCCTCTACAAGCATGTGGTGGCACACATGTACCTACATGCATGCCCTCATGCACGTGCACATGGGTGCGCGTGCGCACACAAACACACACACACACAAACACCACCACCACCACCAAAAACAACTACTACTAAGAACAGCAATAAATTAAATCTCAAAACAAATAAAACAAGTAAATAAATGAGAAGGTGTGAATGAGAGTTGTCCTCACATGAGATGACAGTTGGACCAAGTTTTCATGATAATTTCTATGCAAAGGAAATCAACTCAACAGCTGGTGTTTTATAGCTCCGGAGGACTGGCTTCTGGAGCCATAGGCCCATGCTTGGGTGAGGATGTGAGTTGCATGTGATATGAGATTCAGTCCTTCCTAGACATGGATCCACACTGCATATGCTTCAATTACAAATCTAGAATTACAGTGTATGTATTCCTTATGTCAGCATTCTGAATATGCTTCTTGCGAGAATAAGTAGAGAATAAGTAGTTGGTGGATTCTACAAAAACATATTCTGTGCCCAAGCTCAGTTCTTATTAATTGAGGATGATGGCCATGATCTCTGTCATCATTACAATTTCTCAACCTGGCCACATTTGAAGCAGTGATTTGGGTCTTGGTGTAGCAGTGGAAGAGCAGTTGTTCAGAATACATGAGGCTCTCAGTTCTAGCCCAGCACTGTAAAACTGATTGTGATGAAGGCGATGAGCAGGGCATGGTGCCTGCATCCATAATCTCAGAACTTGGGAGGCTGAGGCAGAAGAATTGCTATGAATTCAACTTGAGTGTGGGATAAAAAAATACGTTCGAACACTCTGTGTCAAGAGGCAAGTCAACCAACCAAAAAACAAAACAAAAAAAAAAACCCCTTCTCATGGTTTCACCTAATGTTTATGGATATACCAACTACATGGAGTCCATCCTTTTTCTTTCCAGAGAGGCTACACCACAAGGTGCTGGAGTCATCTCTGTGGCTAGTCTCCTGGCTATGGTTGCCTGGGGCCAGTTTGTTGTATTAGGCTCAGACAGATGATAGGTGAGTAGACTTTAATTATGAACTTTGGCAAAGCCATCTTGAGAGGGAATGGAGAACGTGGGTCCTCATCTTTGAACGGACCACAGTTAAGGAGCTGGATCTGAAAGGCATCAACAGAGACCACTATGTTTCTCTGCTCAACTGTGAGATGCACAAGAGTTGCTGGAAGCAAGCACACACTGTGTCCCCACGCTCCTGGCACAGAGAGCTCTTGGGAACTTGTCTAGATTTGTTTGTTTGTGTGTTGTCAGATTGCCAGAGACACACTTGTGGGACTTTCTGGTACTGTGGACTTGGTTTGGTAAAAGGCAAAATGGTAAAAGGTAGCTAGAGGTTCTCTGTAACCCTATGGAAACATAGTTAGCTATTGGATTTTAATCTGGGCCATGTCATAGGCTCAGATGTTATTTCACTTCCCTCAGGGTCTGTTTCTTCTCTTGTGAAATGGATGTGATACCATCTCCTGTTATCCTCTGAGATGTGGGAATGAGACAGGAGATAAGGCAGCTATGGGCCTTGGCACCAGGCATGGAGCCCAAGAAAGCTTGTTATTTCTTACTGATGCTTGTTTTTCCCCAAGGGCATCAAATGCCGTTCTGTAGGTGACGTGCTTGCAGAACGTGGATGGATTCACCGAGCTGTATCTGCACGCAGGCCTGTGTTCATGATGCCTGGTTAAACAAAAGGAAAAGCCCGATACTTAGAGCACACACACACTTTCTTCATCTTCAGCACGAATGGTGCCCTGAAGTCCATAGTTCTGGTGGGCCATGTCTAAGAAGCCCCAACTTGGGAAATCAGTGATGGAACTAAGGTGGAACAATGCACCATGCATGGAGATCTAAGAGAGGCAAGAATAATACTGAATGTGCAGGAAGCTGACCCCAGTCATTTTTCTTGTACCACAGTTCTTTCCTTCAGGTCATAATTTTGGTTTTTCTGAGAAGAGGAAGCATCTCTTGGCAGTGGAAGGTTTAGCTTCTCAGATAAGAATGCCCATAATAATGTGAATTGTTTTACAGCTAATGCTCAAGTGAGAAACATTTGTAGTCAAGGGTGAACAACCTAGCCCAGGGAACCTTTTAAGGAAAGGATGGGCAAAATCCTGAAAAGTTCACTTTCTGGTGGCCAGTGAATAAGTTTCTTCTTGCGTGACTCTAACAAGGGAGAACAAAGGGAACATTGGAGCCATTGGTTTTTTTTTTTTTTT